GCAAATCTTGTTAAAGTATTGAAACTTATGTTGTGTCAGCTTTTTCGTGAGGAAATCGGCAGCCATTTCGTTGGTCGAACAGTAGACCAATCGCATCCTCCCCTTCTCAACTTCATTTTTGACGAAAAAATAACGCAGTGAAATATGTTTCGTCCTGTTGACGAAACCGGGTTGGTGCGCGATGCGAATTGCACTCTGGTTGTCGCACTGTAAAGTAAACTGAGTACTCGTCGTCGACTTCGCTTCTTCCAATAGTTCCTGTACGTAAAGTCCTTCGCGTGTTGCTGTGCAGACAGCAATAAATTCAGCTTCAGCAGAGGAGAGATCAATGAGCTCCTGCTTCGTCGAATTCCAAGAAATGGGCCCGATAGGTTCAAGGCGGTAGATGAATCCAGTACGCGAGCGTCGATTAGTAGTATCAGCAGCGTGATCGGCGTCGACGAAATCATGTAGGTATAAAGTTTTACAGTCGACGACGTTGTAGACTAAGCCAACGTCAGGAGTCGGGACGAAATACTGAAGCGCGCGGAGAAGATCGAGTTGGTGTTCCTCTTCAGGACGGCGTAGGAACTGAGCGAGTTGACTAGCCGCGTAGGCTAGATCTGGACGACAAGTAACAGCGGCGAAGAGTAGACAGCCTAACTGCTGTTGATAAGTTTGTAGATCGGTTAGACTCAACGGTGTAGTATTCGGTTTGTAGTCAGTCGGTAGGGAACGGTACGGTGTAGAGACTAAAGTAGGAGTAAGGTTGAAACGGGCAGCAAGTGTGGCTGCGTACTGTACATGCGTGGAGCTCCAGCTTCAAGTACTGGCTCATTTGCATTTTCACCTTTTACGCAGCAGCCGCAGTCTCAGCAACATCATCCCTTTTACATCTTCGGACGTTCACCTGCTCAGCAACAGCAGCAGGAACAGCAACATCAGCCACAACAACAACATCCACAGCATTTTCAACAGCAGCAGCAATAGCAACAACCTCAACAACAGGGACTCGTTTTTCAACCACCGAATTTACTTAACAGCACGCAGATTAAGACCACTATACCTTTTAACGGAGTTGATTTGTACTCCTGGAGCTTCGAGTTTGAAATTCTGGCGCAGTCCGCCGGGCTTTGGCCGTTCTTCATCGGAGAGTTCACCTTTCCTGTTATAGGAACACAACTGGAGCAGCAGAGTTTCTTGCACGCCTCTCTCGGGGCGTATACAGTTCTTGTTCGAAACTTATCGACAAAGGAGCAGCTCGGCGTTCGATCTTTTCATTCAAGTTTTACACCAGCTGAAACTGCATGGAACCACTTGAAGGGGGTGTACATGGCAAAAGATACAATAACAATGAGTAAGATTCTTTCGCAGCTGACAAATGTGCAGATGATGACAAACGAGAGCAGCAAGATCTTGACCTGCAGTCACAACGCAATCAGAAGAAAGGGATACATTTAAGTTTTTACTCAAATCCAGAACCGCAGCAACGACTTCCCTCGAAATATCCCTTCTGTTATTTCTGCAAGAAACCAGGACACACTTACCAAACTTGTCGCAGCCGACATCAAAATCGACGCAGTATTTCACAGCCATATCATTGTTCGCAGCAGTTGCCGAAGCCACATCAGCCAACGCAGCAGTCGACGTCTCAGGCACAGCAGATGCAGAAACCATCGCAGAATCCACCTCCGTCACAGCATCGTCCTCCGGTTTTTGCATCTGCAACATCAGGAAAAGGGGTCTCTGGATGTGTTACATCAGTTGATGTTTTTGATACAGATTTCGAGACACAGCTTGAAGAAACCACCAGTGCAGAGGGCATTCCCTTACCGCAAGTTTATGCTAACCTTGCTCGAGTCATTTTAGGACCCAATACTTGGTATCTCGACAGCTGTTGCGGTTGGCACATGTTCTCCGCTGAAACAAGCTTCATCACCAACCAGCGTCCTCTTCGTCGTCCGATACCTTTTACAGTTGCAAACGGACAAACCATTATGGCAAGATCCATTGGGAGTGTAATGCTCGAATCAGTCGACACGGGAAATTTCTTACATGTTACCAAAGTTCTTATCGTCGCTGGCCTTGGTTTCAATCTTCTCTCCACAGCTCAACTCCTGGCCCACAAGATTCGCACACAAGGGAATTGTGATACAATGGATCAGGAGTTACTGTACTTCGAAGCGGTTAGGTGAATAGATGTCGATGAGCAGGTAATGCTCAAACCGAGAAACTGTGAAACTGTCTCAGAGACGGTAAGCTGTAGATTTTCCTGTAGTTTCAGTATGAAGGTATCGGCGAGCGAGTCAGTCGTACTGACGTAGAGAATATCGTCGACGTAAGCAACGAGTAAAATGTAGTTGCTGCCGGCAGTAAAAAGATACATCCGTGATAATGCGGCAGTTGTCGAAATCCTGCAGTGAGAAGCTGTGAGTGGAGGTACTGCTGCCAGAGCCGGAGTGCCTGTTTAATACCGTAAAGCAATTTTCTGAGACGGCACACGCTCGGGGGGTTAGTAGTGTACGAATGCGGGTACTCTACCAGAATGAGTGCGTCGACAGGTGCGTAGAGACATGCGTTTGCCACGTCAATTTGTCAAAGTCGTAGATTGCGGCAGGCGGCGACACAGAGTAAAATCCGAACGCTCGTATGTCGACCGACGAGAGCAAAAGTCGTAAGTCTGCTCAAACCCGCGGACAACCCATTACGCCTTGAACCTTTCAAACGACCCATTGGCATTAGTCTTGACACGAAAGACCCATTTTTCGGTGAGTACCTTTCTTGCTTTTACTTCTGATGTTGGTATTAACTCCCATGTGCCGCGACTCTTGAGAGCTGCTAGCTCTCTGTCCATGGCTTCGCACCATTTTTCTTGGTGAGGACTTGTAAGAGCTTGTTGAACGGTTTTCGGTTCAGGTATTTTACTATCGTTGTACTGTACTGCAACTGCGAATCCAAGTATCTGTAAACCAGTTTATGTAAAACGCGGACGTTCTTCGTTTGCACCTGCAAAATTTTCTTCTGGTCCTTCTTCCCCCCCCAATTTCGTCAGGTGTAACACGGACTGCTTCGTCGGAGACGGTTGGCATCGGCTGCTGTTGACGATCGCGTTCGTAACGGAGGTGGACTTCGTGAACGTCATCCGGGTCAGCATCTGCAAGGAGAATAAATTCCGGGATGCCGGTCGACGTGACAGATTCGGGTATATCTGTTGCGGCAGCTTCGGAGGCTTCGGAAACTGCTTCGTCCTGTACATTAGCTTTGGCTTTGTCAGTTGCAAATGCACCCGAGCCTTCGAACAGCCTGGCGGGGTTGGCAGCTACTGCGTGGTGGGCACGGAAAACTGACAAGGTGAGTCGCTCATAGAAAAGACAATCACGTAAAGGGAAGATTTGGTTTGAGCGAAGATCCAAAATCTTCCATGCGTGATATTGTTTTTCGATGCCGAGGTGTACCCCCCATTTGGCCCGTTCTGTAAATTTGCCGAGTGCTACAGTTGGAGGTCGAAACTGCACGACACACCCAAAAACTCGTAAAAGTTTTGTACTTCCCATTGTACGTGTCCACTGCAAGTGGGTGAAGAAAACTCGGGCAGTGACGTGGAAGAAAGCAGGTTGTGTAACAGCACTACGTGGTCCATCGCATACGGCCAAAAGCGAGGAGGAAGTGCTGCCTGCGTCAGCAGAGCACGCATCTTCTCCTGCAGAGTTCAATTCATCCTTTCTGCTACCCCCATCTATTAATGTGCATGCGGCAGTAACTGCTTCCGTTTGATGCCGAGGGTTTGGAGGTAGTCTGTTAAAGCGTTGCTTGTGTACTCCCCTGCGCCATCACTTTGGAATTCTTGCAGCTTTGCTCCAGACTCTCTTTCAGCGACAGCGAGCGATGCAACGAAGACTGAATGAGCGAGATGTCGAGCAGGAAGGTTGGCTGTCCAAACGTAGCAAGTAGATGCTTCGATGAAGGTAATCATGTACTGCTCTTCTTTAGGTCCTGCTTCAGGTAAATTAAGAATATCGCTGTAGACTTTCTGCATCAGTTTATAACGCGTGGAGCCAGGAAAATGACTTGGAATCGGGTCGGGTCGTGGCGTCCGGACACGTGGTGCAAACCGTCGGGCGAGACTGCGGCTTCATCTCCGTGCCGCCAGGTAAAAGAAGACTGTTTTTATCAAGAACTGCTGCTGATTAAGAACCCCTTGCGATGGGTGTCCTAACCGTTGATGCCAAATTTCTTTTGTGGCTTTGTGTCCTGATGATCGCAGTTAAAAATCGGCGTTAGTATAAAATGAAGAAATGATAATAGGAGAAAGAGCTGGATGTCAATCTCCCCTTCGACGAAACGGGTAAGTGGTAACTGGACGTTTGAAGGTTCTGCTGCAATTGCGATTGCAATATCTGATATGACTTCTGTTGATGTGTGAGCAGATGGTCCTGTGACAGCTTCTGGGAGACTACGGCTTCCTCGACGACTTCTGGTTCATGAGCTGCAAGTCCACTGATTTCGCCCCAAAATGGAGCTGGAGTTCCTTGGAAGGCGGCACGGGTATTTTAGAAGGTTCGCCAAGCGTTGGCGCCTTCATCGGCGGTATTAAACTCCCAAGTATCCAGTGCGGTAAGAACGGCAGCTGCAGTTCGAGAAGCTGTTGGTACAGTAGTTGCCCGAAATCAATATCCACGTGTTGATAATCTGTTTCGTCTGGGTGATCCCACGGACCGAGAGCAAGGACGCGTTCGGAATCACCAGAGGTGCCCTGTGCTGTGAACTGAAGAAATGACACTCCATATTGAGTAGCAGCACGACCGAGGTAAGTATTGGATAAACTGTGCCATACACTGGCGGAAAGAATTGTCCACATGTTTTGCACTTTTATGAATTTAGGCCGATTAAGGGCATGTGTACATTAAGCCTTAATTGAAGGCCTTACCCACTGTATGCAAGCCAATATAAGAACATAAGACAATGCTTTACATTTGATGAAACAACTATAGTTAACAGATAAAAGCAAACATAAGCAATTACGGTACATCCGGACAATTAGTGCCAGGCGCAGGCAGCAACTTTAACTACTGTAAAACTAGTACCTGGTCCACCGCCCTTTCGCCTTAATCACCGCCTTCATCCTTCTGGGCATGCTGTCGATCAAGTTGGTGCACATATCTGATGGGATCTTCTCCCATTCCTCCTGTACACGCTCCCACAGGTCCACCATACCAGTGGGAGGCATATCGTGCTTACCCAGCTCCTTCTTGAGATGAGCCCAAAGATGCTCAATGGGGTTGAGATCGGGACTTGAATATGGCCACTCCAGCACCCCAAACTCCTACTCTTGAAGCCACTGCTGCACCAGACGGGACTTGTGCTTGGGTTCGTTATCATGCTGGAAGATCACATCCGAGGGGGAAAGCTCGTAAAAGTCGATGGTATTCTTCAGCTCGTCCTGCAAAATGTTCAGATACAGCGGCCCGTCCATCCTACCATCGATTTTGCACATGAAACTCGCCCCCTCATACGTCATGCAGCCCCAAATCATCAAGCACCCGCCCCCATGTTTCACGGTCTGCTTGATCTGGTGGTGTTGGAGGGCCATACCTTCACGAACCCAGGCGTGCGCGCGGCCGTCAGAGCAGAACCTATTGATCTTGGTCTCATTCGACCAGATCACACGTTTCCAATCCTCGATGGTCTAATCAGCATGGGCCCGTGCAAAATCAAGCCTATCGCAGATGTTTTTCTTAAAGAGGCGCGGCTTCTTAGGCTGTTGGATTGCGACAAGGCTGCTAGATTTGAGCGCGTTACGCACCGTCCTAGGATGTACCGTAATGCCGTGCTGTGATTCGACGATCTGGGCCGCGTGCTTCGAGGTTTTCGCCTCGCCGCTAGTAATCGCCCTAACGATCCCACGACGAATTCTATCAGTAACTATGCGTGGACGACCAGCCGTGGGCATTGAAGGTCGCACATCCTCGAGGCTAGATTCTGAAATAGACTTGATTCCTAGATCATGTTGTTAGGATTAAGGACGGAGTCTAGGTGAACTTAGGAGTTAGAATTACTCAAAATATAAAACCGAAATTCTGGACAGAAAAGTCGTCTTCACAAGAAACGACGTCGACAAAAAACTAGCCGTTGGAATGTCGCGAAACTCGGATATGATTTAGCTCTTAATCTCAGCTACCGTTCCCAATTTGAATCACGTTGATTGATGAAGTATTCGCGTCGCTATGGCTTTCGACGTATTAGGGGGTAAGCTGTAGGAGGAGAACTTAACTCAATCTCAAAAGTTCAATCAAAGTTCAAGAATCTCACAAGGAATTAGAGAAGCAAGAGAAAGGTTGGGATTAGGAAGAGAGGGACGAGAGGGAAGGTGCCAAGAGAGTCCCCAACCAAGGAAACCCCATAAGCACAAAGATTCCCCCCTTATAGGAACCCCAACTTTGACATTTGTCCCTTCCCAACCAATCCATCCAAGTTGGCCACCCTTGCCAACCTAGCTTGGTTGTTCCCAACCAATTTGCAGCTGTTACAGTAGAGTGACAAATTTCCCCAACCCCCAAAGGTCCCAACTCTATATAGAGTCACCCCACAACTTCACTTTGTAACCGCCGCAATTGTAACGCAAGCTCATGAACTTTGAATCTTCATAGCTTTCGCGTTCTTGCTCCGATTGAAGCGATTCTTGTTGCGTCGGAAAGATCTTCTCAAGATCTATCATCACAAATACCTGCTCAAACAAAAATAACACAAAACAAGTTCCCAAACTCCAGAACACACCACACAAATTCTTTCACACGTTCAAACCACACATGCGAATTGAAAACATGAGATGGGAGGCAGACAGAATGTGATAGCATATGATGACATCACACAACACATGTACCGTGCTCTTCTCCACGCCAAGCTCCTTTGCGATTCACCTCATGCTATACCCCCTCCGCAATAGGGTTAAGATCCGTCTGCGACGCGCCTCATCTAACGGTCTCATCTCGGCCTAGTCGAAGCCTCGGGTATAGCCTGTTTCCTGACTGATCGAAACTTGCAGGAGCAACTATGGAGATTATGCGGTTGTCGAAAACAGATCTAGTCAGCCGCTTGGCTGAAACTGTTCGGATGTACTCACGCGACGACAATCTTGTCCTCACTATAAGTGCGACCACTTATAATGGCAAAAGTGTTACCTCTGTACAACTTGCACTCGTAACTTACAAAACAATTTCGGAGATTCAGTGTTACCTCACTAAAAAGCATTCGAATCAATATTTGAACCTAAAAGTGGATATTATCCGGGCAATACTTTCCGCGAGTGTAACTTGAGCCGTCAAGACTCATTCCACTAAACGCTGACGATATTGGTTGCCTTGAAAACTGTTGTGCTCTTGCTTGTGTTTGCTGTTGTTGTGATGCAGGGGCAGTCGATGAAGTCCCTGGAGCATTAACAGGAGGATTTTGCTGCTTCTGCTGCAAGCCGATGTGCGCATAAGCCGGTGGAAACGGTCCAGAGGCTGAGAGACCAGTGGCGGTCGTGGAGACAGGTACTCCAGTAGTTCCGAAAGTAGTCATAAGCCGGTGGAAACGGTCCAGAGTGAGCGCTGGTGTTGTTCCAGTCATTTTGACAGTAGTCTTAATTCCAGACAGCTCTGATACCATGTAAGAATTGGACAGGTGTTGCAGGAGACTAAGTATAGAATCTGCAAACACAAACACTTGGAAAACCTCAAGTGTTAGCCTAGGATCTTTACTGGAATGGTAGACTAGTAAGACAGCGGAAGTCTTGTAAGAGTGAATATGAGTATATAGTTATGTGGAAGGTCAAGGTTTTAAAGTCTCAAAGTTGAAATCTCAAGGTTAACAATAAAAAGACACAACAAGGATTTATAGCTCTAGGAAAGTACCTATTCGCTAATGTACCTGTTCGTCACTATCGCGCTATGCGCCCTAGATGATAATGAAGAGATGCAACTGTTCGCGTGACTGAAACGACTGTCCTCATGACGAGCGCTATTTGCTGACGTCATCCTACGGACTTGTATTCTACAGTAGGATTCGACACTATCTACCGATAATCGACTTACAGAAATGCTAAGTATGAATCATATCACAACAGCTTGTTCTTTAGTAAATTCTGGTCAACACTTACAAGTTCTAAAACTTCGGCTGTCTTAATAGTCTACCATTCTAGCAAAGACCCTTGCTGAAGTCTTGAAGTATCACAAGGCAGTAACACTAGTTCTGGTATTACAACTAGTTAATACTGGCTGTTACTAGACGTACGTCCTATCAACTTATACATATATTAGTATGTAGAAGTTACAGGCTACATAGGTGTATTTTCTTGAAGGGTACAGCTCCAACCCTATATTTTCCTTGTCCACCCTTGCTCTAGTTATTCTCGTATTCTCACATGGTATCATAGTAGGTTAGGTCCACCCACCCGCTTCCGGCCCTTGCCTAGCCTACCGCACTATCGTACCCTAGCTTACCGTGCCCCGCCGGCCCCTAGAGCACCTCGCTGCCCCTAGCGTGCTCGCCGTCCCTTACGCGCCGTAACGGCCCCTTAGCGTCCCGCCAACCCCTTGCGCCCATCCAGCCCGTAGCGCGCTGTGCCGGCCCCTCGCGCCGTGCCAGCCTCGCGTACCTAGCCGGCCCCTTGCGCCGAGTCGGCCCCTTGTGCCTGGCCGGCCCCTCTAGCCTAGCTGGCCCCTCGCACCTAGCCGGCCCCGCTCGCCTAGCCGGCCCCTCTCCCGTAACCGACCCCGCGCCTAGCCGGCCCCTCGCCCAGCCGGCTCCCGGGCCCAGCCGGCCCCCGCGCCTAGCCGGCCCCCGCGCCCAGCCGGCTCCCGCGCCCAGCCGGCCCCGCGCCTAACCGGCCCCTCGCACCTAGCCAGCCCCGCTCGCCTAGCCGGCCCCTCTCACGTAGCCAACCCCGCGCCTAGCCGACCCTGCGCCTAGTCGACCCCTCGCCTAGCTGGCCCCGCGCGCGCCGCGACAACCCCTTGCGCTGTGCCGGCCCCTCGCGCTAGACGGCCCCTCTCGAGCACCGCCGGCCCCTCGTGCCTAGTCGGCCACTCTCTACGCGCCGGCCCCTTCCGCACCGCCCGGCCTTTCACGCGCAACGCCGGACCCTCGTGCACCTCGGCTCCTCGAGCGCCCACTGGCCCTCCCGCGCCACTGGGCCCCCAGCACTATGCCGGCCCTTTGCGCCCTGCCGGCTCTACGCGCCGCGGGCCCTCCGCTCCTCGAACCCTCCTCGGCCTCCTGCCCAGTCTCCTCGCCGGAGAGTCCTGCCGCCACGCCGCTGTGCCGCCGTGCCGCTGTGCCGCCGTGACCCTGTACCGCTGTGTCCTTGTGCCGCTGTGCTGCCGTATTCCTGTGCCGCTGAGGCTGCACGACGTCGGACGCCGTACTTCGCCTGGACGTGGAGGGGCATGCGATCGACTTCGCGCTGGCTTGTCGATCTTCGCCGCCACCTGACACGTCAGCGCCAGGATGGGCACTCCCTGGCTATGCATATTGATGGCTTGCTTGCCCGTCCCCCCACGCCTGATCCCTCCCTGCTGACCCCACCATTGGTGAGAGTGAGGCCTTTGCTGCTGCTGCGCTCGCTCGTGCTGTCTGGGATTCTCGCGATGCTGTAGCGCAGCTTGCCATTAGTCATGCGCTTCCCCTGTCTGAGTGTCCGCGCTTCACCGCCGTCGAGAACGCCAAGGACTTTCTAGATGCCGTAGTTGCGCGCTACTCCACACCCGCCTCCGCCTCCGCTGGCCGCTTAATCCTCGCCATGCAATTCCCCGATCTTTCCGCCTTCCCCACTGTCGCCGACCTCGCAACTCACCTCCGTGCACTAGAGACAAGTTACCGCGCTGCTAGTACTGCCGCCCAGCTCATTGCCTTCCCCCCAGTATTCTGTGCTACCCTGTACCTTATTGCCATGTGCTTGCCTGACGGCTTAGCCACTGCCCGTGACCACTTCCTTAGCCAGCACCCTGGTGACCTCACCCTGACCGCCTTTGTCACTGCACTTTCCGAGATAGAGTCTCGCCAGCGCACTATTGCTCAGTCGAGCGGTGTTGCGGTGGTCCCTATCTTTCAGGGCTGTGCTCCCTCCTAGTGCACGTACACTGACATTTCCGCCGCTAACGCTACAGCTGCTCCTGCCGCTGAGACCGCAGCGACGGCTTTCCCCCAGCTGCAGCGACGGCGACGGGGCCGCCACGGCCCCAAGGGAGGGCGTGGTGGTGGTGCTGGTGGTGGAGGTGGTGGGGGTGGAGATAGTGGTTTTGAGGAGGGGGCTGGGGCAGGTGTCCAGGAGCAGCAGCAGCCACAGCAGCAGCAGTCGCAGCCGTAGCCGCAGCCACAGCAGCAGTAGCAGCAGCCGTGGGCCCGCCTCCCGCCGGGGTGGCCAGGAGCCCCTAGAGGTGGTGGCCGCGGTGGTGGTCCTCGCAGCTCGGTGTCTACCGTCGGCGTCGGTGCTATGGGCTGCCAGTACCAGCTCCAGATTAAGCCCCTCCGTGGCACTGTGTGCCTGTGTTTGACTTAGACATGAATCAGATTAGTTGTGCCCTGCACTCTCTATATGCTGACGCTTCTAGTGTGTCTGGACTTTATTATCCTATGTTCCCTAGCTTAGTCGTGGTACCTGTGTATAGTACAGACACCCCTGCTGCGTCAGGCGTAGGACCACTTGCTTTGTCTAGCCTAGGCTCTACCCTTGCTCCTCCTTCGTTTGCCGCTACCGCTTCGCTGTACTTTACACTTGACTCCGGTGCGTCTGCTTGCTTCTTCCCCGACCGCGCTGCGCTTACGCCGCTTGCCACAACTGCTGGTGTCACACTTGCTGACCCCTCCTCTGGTCCGGAAGTTGCTCCCAGCTACACTACCCTTCCCTCTCCAGCGGTTCCCTCGGGTTCCCTCACAGGCCTGCACATCCTCTCGTTCTCCCGGAACTTAGTTGCTGTCGGCTGTCTTTAGGACCTTGTCGTCACCACTACGTTTCCGGGTCACGAGCGGTACGCCGTTTGTACCGAGGCCGCCTAAGTTTCTCTCCTTGCGACGTTCCCCCGGGACCCAGTGTCTGGCCTCTTTTCGCATGACACTGCTTCCCCCCCGGGTGGACTGTCCTTCTGGAGTCCTGCGCCTACCCAGAACGCTGCTGCGTGCTCGTGTCGGTCGCTCACTCATTCGTCGCTTCTGTGGCACCACTGCTTAGGTCACCCCGCACTCCCGCGTCTTCATCACATGTCCCAGAACGGTCTCGTCCTAGGTCTCCCTACGTCGCTTCCCGCCCTC